GCTCACACCTCCCATCTCACGGTCTGTATTTTGTTATCCTGGTGGGAACATGCTGTTCTTTTAGTGTCAAAATATGTTTACCATAAAGGGAAAAAACATGTCTTGTTTTCATCCTCATCATGCAACAAGAACATTTGTCCAAAGTAGTTTATATTCGACGCCCGAAACAGACCATCGGTGAAGAACAAATATAAATATCATCGAATAAGTTGCTGCGCGAAAAAGAGGTTCACTAGCTGTTTTTCTCATCTCTTTATAATTCTTCAGCGCTTACCAAAGGCGTTGTGATATACTGCCCCTTTACGAGATGAACGAAAGATCTAGAACCAAATTAACTACGTCAGGGATAAATGTTAGATTGGAATCAGCAGGGGAACATATGATGAGGGGCGTGAAATTTTTCTCAACAAAACCTGACAGCTTCCTTTCCCAAATCGCAGCCTGTTTAACTGTTTCGTACTATGTTGGAATTCCTGAACTTACAAATTGTAACTACGAAAACGACATCAGCTGAGAATAGTGAAGAAATGCACTCATATATAACGACCCCACTATGATCTTAATTTGTCCAAGTCCTTTGCCCTTTAATTTCCGTAAAGGATACTTCAAACCGGATTGTTTTGCACACCCTGTCAACATTAACTTCAGGCCTGTCTTCGACCAAAACAATAACGGTTAGATCAACACTGTGTCAAAAAAAAATGTTAAGTCTGCTTGTTACTTACGCCGTGACGACTGCTAGAATCAGCCCGCTTAATAGTCTGTGGTTTTCCACAAGAGGATGATCCTTTGACGACAATGAATCTCGTGTACAATTTCGGTTCGACGACATGAAAATCAAGAGATCGCTTTGTAATGTTCACACGTGCCTGCCACACAATTATTCCTATAATGGCACGCGACTTGCCAGCCGTTTGCCAAATACCGGAAAGTTCTGTCAGTGCAAAAGATTGTACGTCAGTCAAAGTTCGCGATGAACTTGTATTTCTCGATGATGGAAACACTGTTTAACTTTTAGGTTTCATTCCTTATAAGGCATTACACAGTTGTTCAGAACTAAAGTGGCAATACGTAACTCTCAAAAAGATGTTGACCAATTTTCTGACCTTTTGCAAAGTTTTACACTTCACTTGAGAAAGACTAGTCTTCACTGGTCGCGGAATAATGTAAGCGGTACACGTTTCCACCAACAAGCCGTTAATGCGACTGAAACTGACATGGCCAGTTTTATCAAACATAAAAATTTTGACCGAGTACAGCATCAGTCTTTTAATCTATGTTTCCCAGCGTCAAGATGTCGCATTAGCAGTGATAACATTTCTTCGTATTATCTTGTGTTGTTTCAGATTTGAAACACTTGTTTCCCGAAATAACCTAAAATTAATGCCTTGAAGCGAAAGTGATACATTGTGGCAGTTCATAAGAAATATCAGATGTAACATAGGAGTGAGTACTGCTTCCTGTGAAACGAAAAAATAATACAGGTTCTAATGGTATCATTCGGGAACGTCCATAATCGTTTTATTTGGGACTGACGGCGAAATAAAGTTAATCTGTAAAAAATCCCGTTGATTGAAAATGGGAGATGGCACTAAATTTGCACGAATTTTATTGTAATAAGCAAAACCCTTAAGAAATGTAGCCTATCTAGATTTATTTGCTAGACGATACATCTCGCTCTTCGTACACCTTATAAGCGACCCAACTCAATCGTGGTCCTTACTCAATAGAACTTGCGTCAGGGAATGTTATAAACCCGGCTGTTCATTTGACAGGATACAAAAGAGCTCTTGTTATCAACTGAAATCCTCAGACACATTATTTATCAATTTCCAGCCTCTTTTCAATAGCTCCTTTGTTCCCGTGTAATCAACTCCAAATAC